CACACACACACACACACACACACACACACACACACACACACACACACTACTGAAAAAGTGATAACAAGTATCACATAAGTTTGGCCAACTGCTCGTAAATGTTATATTCAACATGAGGTTGACAAAAAGTCTATCACAACAAAAAACATCACAGTCTTTGGGTCTACTGGACTGTGCAAATATCCAAAAAGCACAACCAAGAGACCAAGAGTAACGTCATGACAGTGTGACTAATGATGCGTCACTTGCATTCACGCTGTTTAACTGACAACTTCTATCTTTGACCAACAAGAAGCTCTTATGTTTGTAATTTGAAAAGAAAAGCAGTTCTCCTCACCAGAGTGCTGAAAATCTGCTCAAATCAGAGAGTCACGACAAGTTTTTGTTGTAGGTGATGAACATAGACTGAGGTTCCCCCACTATCTGTTTTTGTTTGCCGTGAGAGCGCATGAGCGTGCACGAGTATAGCTGAGTAATGCATCTCTATAGAGAGAGCGAGAGCAATAAGAGAAATGTGTGTTTAGTTGGACTTGCATCAGTGCTTCTGGAGAGATTTTCTTCCTAAAGGGCCCAGCAAGCTGCACTTACACACCGTTTCCGGGTCACTTCCCCCTTCAGTGGTGGAGCCTCTCACTGCTTTCTCCCTGTCACAGCCATTCAAGGCCCAGTCGCCGTTAACCTGTGCACTCAACCACTTGGCCTGCCTGCAGATCTCTTGTTTTCGCCACTAAATTCCGGTCCACCTTTGCAGTGCAACGTTGAGGTTTACTGTATCTCATTATGCTCACAAAGGAAATGAGTTGCTGTTGAACATGTTGCGCCTAAAATGCAAAAACTATAGAGAGGAAAGAAAGGAGTAACTCTTTCACGTGACTTTTAATGCTCCACACTTTGATGTGCTATTACACTGAAGTGTTCCCGTACTTTTAACTGAGAGCATCCTTGTAAATTTAGGACAAAAATAAAAATTCTAACTATTAACAGCACTGTTCTAGTTTAAATATTTAGTAGCATTATACTAACCTTAAACTACTGCAGGTCCCAGCCTTTAAATATTTTTCTCATGATGCACTTACATTTCAGATGATGTACTGCGAGTGCTGTGAACATATATATATATATTTATATATATGGGGTATATGCATTATGTTGTAAGGACAAAAAGCTGTTTGCACCGTCACATCTGGGAAGTCAAGTCAGAGTTTTGTACCTGTGATCTTAGTTTTGTGAGCTTGCACAGTTAAGTCCTTGTCGGATATGTGCTTTCTGGTGTAATTTGTTCAAGTTCAAAAACCTAAATGTTCCTTTAAAAATTGAGCCAGCAAGCCCAGACCTGAACATGGTTATTTTTAAGTGTGTGTGTGTGTGTGTGTGCCTACATTTTAAGTTTAAGTATATTAACTTAAATAATTATATCATTAAGTAAGTGATAAATTCCCATTTTGTGAAACTCAAATCTGATCATTATTTAAAATAAAGGCTCATTTTACTCCAGTGTTTACAGACATTGATGAAAACACTAATTGTATGTAAAACAAAAATAATTCAGATTAGTAATTTTCTTGTGTTAATTCTGTGTTTTGTTGGTGGTGGGGTGGCACCGTTGTTTACATTTGGATCCCAGATTGAGCCTCTAAGGTCTAAATTATGACTGGATTTAAGTTAGGTTAAAGGTCAGGTTTTACATCGAGCCGTTATGGTTGAAATTAGACAGCAGAGGATGAATGGAAGTCGATACAAATGTCCTCCCAAGTGTAGTAGAAGAGGTTTGTGTGCAGAAGTGCCCGCTTGGCGTGTCATGGAGTGTGTCTGAGATGGGTGGGTGGGGGGGGAGATGGGGGTGGGGGGGGGGGGGGGTGGGGTGGGGTTTACAGTCGCCAGACTTCCTGACTCTCCCGCTGTCGGACACTTGTGAGCGCAGCGCTGGCTCTTTGTGTCTCAGCACTCTGCTTTGCAACCACAAGGTTCAAGTGACCCCACCGGCTGCCTGCAGTCTGCCCCGGGTCGGGCTGCATCCCCCCCACACACACACACCCAGCCTCGTCTGTCAGAGGCGAAGAAAAATCCATTAAAATCTCAACCTGATCAAAAAGAAGCCTAAAGCCAAAGACACCATATGCACTCAGTTAGGGCTATCGATGACTGGCGAGCATTGTGGGGTAGCTTAATACATGCGATTGACTTACTGCCAACAGTGGCAACAAAGACTGTTTTCCTACAAAGAAAGAGCTGCGAGTTTGGCAGAGTTATTCCGGGCCGATGTGCATCTCAAGGCCATCCAGAGCTGTCAGCACGTTCCTCCAGTTTGACCATCAGTAAAACCACAGCGCACATGGTTTCCATTCGGCGTTAAATGCATGAATGCCGAGCGCTATTGTTTGAAATCATTGATCCCCAAATTGCAAGTGATGATGGTCCCGCTGAATGATTGTGGTGGGAGTTTCTCTCATGCCATTAGCATGCAAATATGGAGACGGGACCCAACTGCTGTGGGCTTCGTTTTACTGTCAGAACTTTGTTTATACGTCCCGTCAAAGTCATTTAAGATCACGTGCAAAATACGGAGGGAGTGAAGGGAGACCAATGTTTGTACTGCAGTCACATAGTACTACTCAGTATTATTTGTACTACACTTGTGTCAGCTAAAGGATCATCATCTCGTCTCCGTCTCAAAAGGTTGACATGTTGTCACGTCTCATTTCATCTCCTTAACACAGAGTGACAACTTTGATTGACATTTCCGTATCATT